GAAACTCATTATAATATGCAAAACTGTTATCCACTCACAGCAGTGGGCGTTTACTTCCAAGTCTTCACTGCGAGACGCCCATAAAAACCGAGCGTTTTTGAGCGTGGCTCAAAACTGGGGTAGAAAATAGCCTATTACTTATTCGTTTTGATGTTTTTTAATGTAAAAACCAAGCGAACATCAGTTGACCTCAGACAACAATATAAAAAATGTTTTGGTAGAAAGAAATATTTTCCATTAAATATTCGATTATACAAAACATTTTGGAACTCAGCATCAACAGGGGAAACAAATATATTGACTATACAATTTTCCATAGTGATTTTAGTTTCAGGACTTCCAGGAATGTGGGAACCATGTCATTATGTTCTTAACTTCCAAAATGATACAGTTAAATCACGCTACACCATTGTCTTCCAGTGAATTTATAGCTTTCACAGTGTTATCATTTTGTTTATAATTTTACCATTCATACCCAGTCAATCTTGAAATTTTAAAGGGCACCTATTATGCTCCTTCTTACAAGATATAATATTGGTCTTGGGTGTCCCCAGAATGTATTTGTGAAGTTTCAGCTCAAAATACCCCACAGTTAATTTTTTATAACCATTTGAAAATGTCATTTTTGGGGCCTGTTTAAAAATTACCTGTTTTGGTGTATACAACCTTAAATGCAAATGAGCTGCATATCCCTGCCCTGCCTTTGGATGAGGGTGTCACTTGCATACCTATGGCAGTCGGTAAGCAGAAGGGCTGAGAGAGAGAGACCCACTGTTTTGAATGTCATTCAGCCATATATGTTTGAATCGGAATATATAAATAGTCTCTGATCAGACCCAGATGACGAAGAGACTTCGGAAAAAATAAACACAAATGAGAATGGACCAGTACGTCTCGGTATGGTTATTTGACACATTTATGTACTTGTAAAGTTGTAATCGCAGCCCCTTTGAAATGATGGATGCGCAACACACACACACAGACAAACACAAACACTAACATTGGCGGAATTTTTTGAAACTACATACACATACTGTGATAAAGTTTGCTACGTAAAAGCGAAATTAAATAAATAATTTTACCTGTGTGGCATAATTAAATGGACGTTTATAAGACATAAAATATAAAAAATGATCAACAAATGTAAGGCGTAGCGACTATCTATCTGTCAACACAATTGTAACCATCACACTAACTCTGGGCCAGTCTACTTTAACAATCTGCGAAAGGTCTAAAGCACACGGCGCAAGTGCACTTAGGGCGTGGCCGAGATTCACTTTTGCTAGTTTAACGACGGGAAAAATGGTCGGCGCATGGCCTAAAAGGGTTGTCTGTTGCCCCTACTTTGAGCAAATGTAAATAGTATTCTTAATGAGTCATGGGTGTTTTGGGCGTAACGTGCAATAAACCAATCAGAATCTCATCTTCGCTATTTATATGGCAGAATTCGTAAGCGTAAAAACTGAACGCTTCTCAAGTGAGGAAACCAGCTTGTGTGTATGATAGGGCCCTTATTGTTGAGCCATGAAGATACCTCATTTAGGCCAAAATGCTGTGTAACATAAAGCAGATCCGTTAAAAATGGCCAAAAAAAATGTTGTTGAGGTAGATGGGGTAGATTTCGACATAGATTCCTAGTTTTATGGGACTTTGAAGACACAACAAACAAGAAGATTTTTTTTAAAGTTCCTCTGCAAAAATATGTTAAAAGGGAAGGTGAGAATAATGAAAAGAGCTAAAGTGCTGATTCAGGTTGGTATTTTCCTGGACGGTGGGCAGTATGAATATTAACTGTCAGAACAAGTGGGGATATCGATCCACCCTCTGCAGGGTTCAATAGAGCCGGCTCAAGGTTGGACAGGAGTGACAGAATTCAGAGGAGAGATCAGTGGTCTGTGTGCATGTGTCAAGAGTGTGTGGGTGTTTGTGGGTGAGTCATTCTACATCAAATCTCTGCCATCTTAGAGTCACTGTACCTTATCTGACGGATGTAAATGCCATAACCTCTATTTTAAGGTGAACAGTACTAAGGAAACACGATTTGACAATTGTAAGTGTGGATATATTTGTATATTTTACAAATCTTTTCTCAAAATAATGGCCCAGCATATTGATGTCACAGAGTTTAGCTTAATGTGTTTCAATAGGGACTATGTGTTTGGACGTTTTGTTTTGTACATTCAATCTGTTTTGGACTTGACACATGATCCATACACCACTCTGGATTATGCTGACTGGGGCTTTCCTGTCGTGTTTTGTCTGTAGCATGAACAGTCAGTGCTGTGATTAAAAAAGCAGTGTTTGGTTCACATCAAACATACTGTAACTAAGCCTAAAAGTATGTATAGCAAAACGTTATACTTTAGTTTCTGTCCCTAACAAAAAAAAAAACTAAACTGCGCTTACACTAATAATTTGTTTGTAATCAGACTTGTAGCACATTCGGATAATAATAATAGTAAACATTTTATAAAGTCACATGTAATCATCACAATCGGAATGAATTGGCCAAATCTGACTGCGATTTCATTTGGATAGTAAGGGGTGGTTTAAATGTGCATGTCCTATCGAACAGATTAGAAAATATTATTTAATCACATTGAAAACCTAAACTGGAAAGATCGGTGCATGTGCAATGACGTAGAATGCTAACAGTTATAGATAATAGTAATAATATTTCACAATATTATTGTTTTACTATATTTATTGATCAAATAAATAGACTTGGTGAGCATCTTTCAAAAACATGAAATAAATCTTACTGACTCTTAACTTTTGAATGGTAGTTTAAAGGGGGGGTTGACTGCGATTTCACTTTTTTCATTTTAAATAGTGTGTAATGTTGCTGTTGGTGCATGAACAGTATCTGCAAAGTTGCAGCGCTGAAAGTTCAGTGTAAGCAGAGATTAGAGTTTACCACTAGTGAATGGCAGAGAGATCGTCTTTTAAAAATCAGGAAGTATATTGCCTACAAAAACGACTCGATTGGGACTACAGCTGGGTTTTAGATGTCACTAACCCACACATTTACATCAACCTTCTTCTCTTCTGTCTTCAGAAGGTCTTCTGTGTTCGAGCTTCCCACGGACGCTGTACTTCGTCAACAATGGATACAATTTATGTTTGATTATGTTCCTGAAAATGACGATCGTAATTTAGCTCTCTGTGCTGTGCATTTTACGGAAGACAGCTTCCAGAATCTCCACGTGTTCAACACCGGATTCAACAAGAAACTGTTACTAAAACATGAAGCAGTTCCAACTTTAAAACCAGAGGCAGCAGTTGTTGGGCCACAACTTGTAAGTAGGCTAAGACTTCATCATTTTAAATGTATTTGCATGTATAATTCCAGACGTAGCCTTGTGTTTTATTTTTTTTCAAATGCCAAAAGTGGCTTTATAGCCACTAGGCTACTAGTTATGCTATTTTGTGTCTATGACAAATGCGTACAAACATTGTGGACCTGAATTTTCTAAAAGTACTAATGTTTTAAACGTATTTTTCATGTATATATGCTTTATGACGTTATTTTCGATTTGATCAAGAACGTAAACTAATGCCAACGCTGTTTGTGTTTAACATTAGTAGCCAGTCAGTTGCTATTGTTGCCAGTAAGACGCTATTGTGTTAAACAAACGTGTATAAAGTTAAAAAATGTAGCAAATTATCATTCAGAAACGTTAAGTAAGAGCCTGTGGTGAGGTTCTGCTGGACTCTCTTTATCGCCGCTTTTTTGCCGCTTTCTCGGTCTGATTCTGCCTCAAACTGATACTGTAGTATCAACATGAATGGACCGAAGCGCAGGCACGTTTCGCCCGTAAAGGTAATGGGCGTTAACCTTCCGGACAACGTGAGCGACAGTTTAGCCAATCACAACACACTGGCCCAAACTAACCAATCTGAGCCCACTGCCTGTTTCTGAGGGAGTGGTTTCATAGACTCAGGAAGTCAACCGCTCGTTCAGGGGACAGAGGAGAGCGTGGCTGACAATAAAGCTAAAGTTTATGAAAAATAAGACTTTTTAAAAAGAAAAAACACGAATACATGTTATATTGCACCCCATAAACACAATCAAGCTAAGAATAAAGCAGTCAACCCCCCCTTTAATTATGTTTATGCTTTGTAAACAGAAAGGAGCACTGGTTATAAAAAGCTATGTGCAATACAAAGCAAACACCGCATTATTGGCAACTGGTAACATTACGCCAACATGCCAGAGCCCATGAGGGGGGCAATTTCTTTTTCTACAAAACTGATATATCATCATAAGCATACATCATTTTAAGGATTGTTGTAATGTAATGATTATTTAGTTGTCATTGTGTCAAAAGGATAAATGAATAAATAAAAAATATATAATTATTACATCAGTCAATATTTAGTAACCAAAGGTATTTCCAAAGGCAAAGTTGAAGGGAAAGTAGATTGACCCACCAAATTCACTCGCTCGCAGTCAGTCTACCTCGCACATTTACCGCCATTTCATTCAAGATTACCATATTTATGATGTTCCGATGTACTGAATCGTGAAGTGTATCATATCATGAACTAGTTGGCTATACCCAGCCCTAGAGTTAAGAATATATTATGGTATAATTTTAGTCTCAGTTTTCTGAAATGTACGTGTTACAGTAAGTCACATATAACAGAACACACACCATATGAACCTTATGAAGTCTGAAATGAAAGTTCACTACCGTGACGGGCCTTTTGACACACACAAAAAAAATGAACTCATTCATATAAAATGTGTATGTAAATGTCTGCTATCACACTCAAACACTCCCACATCCTCTTACATGAGTCTCAGTTGGTGAATATTTACAAAGAAGCTTGATACACCCACCCTACCAGCCAACACACACACACAAAATTCATGTGGCAAGAGTGCAAGCTGAAGAACAAAACTCACAAGTTCACAGACTCAGCCATAAATCTTTGTTGTGTGTGTTGATAATACACTAAACACGTGTCATTTAGTGTGTTTGTGTTTGACTCACCAGCCGCCACTGCCGAGCACATGACAAAGAACATGCCCACGGCGATTCTCTTCAGAGATGAGGGCAGCAGGCCTTTACGTTTGAGGATGGGGTCTACCACTTTATCCTTGAGGGGAATCAACATGAGGATCAGCACGGCATCAAACATGGTCAGCCAAGCCGCTGGGAAGCGAAACGATTTCTGGAAACAAAAGGAGAATATAATGAGTCATGTTGCAGGACACTAGAGGATGAATAAACAGGAATCAGGGTGTGTGTAGGTCACTCATAACACTCAGGTGCTTCGTTCTTCGCCATTTGTCCTCCATTGAGAAAATAAGTATAAGCCTAAATGTGAATTCTGGGAGGGCATATGAGAAAGAGAGAGAGAGATAGCAGGAAACCAAATCATTCCAGCAACCTTAGCGCCCTCATGTGGCCAGTGCTGGTGTGTGGATGTAAAACCCATCCAGTAACTGACAGAGGGACAGGTCTCTTAATAGCCCATAAAATCATTACTCAATAGTTAAGTACTTTAATATCACCTGGGGATTAAATACCATGCGTCAGAGCACCTGTTTCATAATGAATGGCCGATTGCTCCCCTCACATGCCACTGATGAGTGATGAAAACCCCATCAGAGGAAAGAAAGGGGGGAAAAAAGTGGTTCTGCTTCGGTGTAAAAGATAATGAATGGTGTTTTCCTATGCAAAACCTAGGATGGTTCAGTAATAGTGATTTAGAAAGACTATTTTGACAGAGAAAAACAAACTGCCTTAATAAGGAAATAGATTTTACATGAAGAAAGAGAAAATAAGTCCAATTTAATTATGCAAAGGGGGTTGCTTCGTTTTTGCTAAGGTGTCAAGCAGTTTTAAGCACATTGCTATGCGCTTGCTAAGGTCTTCTGGGTGTGTCACTATAGGTGATTTCCATTTGACAGAAAGTGCCCTTTGAAGTAGACTTTAGAGGGAATTCTGCCATCAAATGCGATATTCTAATCCAAAGGGAGCAAACAAGTTCAGTTCGAAGGGGTACTGCAAACAGCACGGGGAATAAGGGAACATCGATACATCGCTGCACAGAAGATGGAGAGGGAAATTTACCCACCAGATAGTATGTGTAAATAAAATAAAGGCGGTTAAAGTAAGATGAGTGTCCAGTCACAATGTTATTATGCGGTTTAATTAGTCGTGGTTTGTATGTGGTTGTTTGCGAAAAAAAAGAAAAAGTGTGTGAGATTGAGATGTAACAGTTACATTACAATCATGATTATGGTCAGATAAGAGAAGATACATCTAATATAACCAAATTATGTTTATTCATATATTAAACATACATTGCACTATGCAATTATCACTCAGTTTATCATTTTCAAATTTAACAGTTTTTGATATTTAGATTAACAGTTTTTGATATTTTGATATTATTATTATTATAAATACACATGATGTATTATATACACACACACATGTATATCACATGAACGTATGACAATTTATATTTATTTACAGAAGTATATTATGTAATCATAGCTTCAACTTCTTTAATATGCACCAGTCACTCACGATTCAAGTGTCATCCGTTCGATGACTTTGCAGGTGTTCCAAATGAATGCATTTGTCAAATTCAGTGAGTAGGGGTCAGTGAACACTGCCTGTGGACTCTGTCAGTCAGAACTTTTGTTGTTGCTATGGTATTCTGAGTGGATACCAGGGGGTTGCTATGAAGTTGCTAAGGCTTTCTAGGTGTTCTTGGCCCAAGTCAAAAAAAAAAAAAAAAAAAAAAAAGCCCAGACCCAAATATCTATGTTTGTCTTAATACATTTTTTTTATTTTCATGTCTTTCAGACACATAAAAAAGGGTCGATCACCCAAAAATGAAAATGAAGTCATAATCATCAAAGGAGATTTTTTTTTAAGATCCTACTCGCACTCATCCATTTAGAGACGAGCACAAAGCTTGTAAAAAATAAATAAATAAAAAATAAAAATAAAAGATGACACAAAAGTTTCACAGATTGATCCCATGCAACATTTTGTATATTCCAAGAGTTCTGGGGGTAAAATAAACCCCTAATTGAACAGTGTTTGGTTTAAAAATAAATAAATAAATTAAATCTGTTGCACCAAGTTATTCTTTCCACATCTGTCAACTGTCATTCTGACTGTCATCTCATCAGACAAACAGAATTCCGATCCAGATATAGTAAACTCAGTCAGATCCTTTTATTTATTTATTTTTATTTCTATGGGTAGCACTTTATGGTAACACTTTCTTTCTATGCATTGTATTTCAATCTTTGTTTTTTTAACCAAACCCTATACCTCCAGAACACTAGGAGTATACGACGATGAGACCATTCTGTGATACTTTTGCACCTTTTTCAGAAGCTTGATGCTGGTCGCTGCCATTATATATCCAGGGTGCATATACAGTACAGTACGTAGCAGGTGAGTCAAATGTGTGGTCAAATTCACCAATGAGCGATTGACCAATTTTAACTCTGGGTGTGATTATTTTCACTTTGAAAACCACAGTAAACCATCTGTCCTCATTTCCTGCACAGGCAGGGCTTGATGATACGACTAAGCAGATGTGGGTAAATGCTGTATGCACGTAGCAAAAGTTAAAAACAGCCCAATCCATTCTTATCTTGGTCTGATTGGTTGTAATTAATTCAAACACACTGCACAATATGTCGCCATCTGTACGGTTTAATTGACATTAAACAAATAATGCCTGTGAAATGCAACACCAAAGACTAGATGCCCGGAGCTCAAATTATGCATCCATGCCTGCAGGTGTGTATGGGCATATCACACACACACACACACATTTACACCTCCAGTAGAGTATCAGGCATTTAAGTGGAGAGCGCATCTCCCTCAGCATGAAGTTAATTCAACGGCTTCTGTCAGTCCCCAATCTACCGGCACTTTTAACACTTTTAATTCTCCAGCTTACTCCCTCATTACATTTACATTTCTTTGACTAAGCATTGGTTATTTATACATGTCCCTCCGAGCGCTCAGTCTCCCCTTCATCATCATGCACTTTTAAACACTTTTTTTTCCATTTAAAATTGCCAGTTTGCATCATTCTATCATCATATCATTTTCACCCACATTACTGGTGTCTCGTTGTCTCTATGGGTATCTCCTAATTAAGAGCTCACGGTTTGGCCTCGTTAAAACTGTGCACTGTATTCCCTTTAGGCTGCGCGGTCCACAGAGTCAAATCTACTGTACGACAGCACATGTTCATTTAGAAGGGGAAACCCTTGTGTGTGAGAACGAGCAACAGATGGGGATTTGCAAACTCACTCCAGAGAATAATACTTAGGAAAGAATGAAATTACTTGATTCCTATTGAAACAGGAGGTTGGGGGTAGGACCAACATTTTTGAGTCATCAATATTTTTGTCCTGTTTTCTTAGAACATTTCATTGCCTTGGTAACGCAAGGCTTTACAGACGTATGAGGGGTAAATAGTGGCCGTGATTTGGAGGATGATCAGTAATTTCTTTTAAGTGTATTATTAACTTAAATTTTATGATTGCTTACTTCGATCCAACGGAGAAACTGTTAGCCAGGCAGACAACAGACAAGCGACCAATCCCGAGTGGAGTCATCACTACACGTATTCTATCAGCACAGTTCAACGTGGTTAGACAAACTTGCTGAGAATTTCGGGCCGAGGTTGTTTTTTAGACGTGCCGTGCCGTGCAGAACCATGCTCAAGTGGAAATATCTCTGTAACTGTTTCTTCCGGCCAACAGTGAAAAAGAGGCTTAATGCGTGCTAATTGACCTTTAACTGATAATTGTTTGACATTGTATGGGATGTCTTTGTCATGACAACTTGACATTACAAAGATAACACAACCTGTCATTAACATGACATAGCAGATTAATTATCAAACTTAAGAAACCACTTAGCTTTATGGGTTAACATTACATTAAACTGTCAGGTGGTTGGCTTTGACATTGGCTGTCATGAAGCCATTATAACTTTTTAATGACAAATTCAATTAGTACCACTGTAGTTGAGGTCACGAAAAATATTCCTGACACAGTTATAATGCCTCATGACAGCCAATGTCAAAGTCAACCACATGGCAGTTTAACTTAATTTTATGTCAAGTTGTCATGATAAATACACTGACAGGTTAAGATGTTATGCTTTATGTCAAGATGTCATAGCAAACACATCTCAAACAATGTCATTATTTGCATTCAAAATGTCATTTTTGAGTGAAAGACACTTAATGACATTTGTCATAAACATGCATAAACCCTACTTCATATTCAAGACATATGTCATGTCATGGTTATGAAGGTGTCATGTCAGTCTTATGCACACCCCTTCAAGTAAAGTGTTACCCAAAAGAGAAAAGGTCAGAGGAATATCACTGGAAAAAGAAGGGTTATGATCAGGCAAGAGCTTTAGGACAGGAAATTGGTTTTGCTATGTTTTACAGAACAAAGATATGCTGTTGCTGTACAGTTTTGAGTGTCATTGTTTGTCTGGAGCTGGTGTAATGCAGATGACTAATAATGAACTCTTGCTTGTATTGTGTACTGCGTGTTAAATTTTTGTTCTTTCTTGTCGTTTCTTTGTCATCTTCGCTTCACTTTTTGCAAAGCATTATTTTGCTTTTCTCATCTATGATAAAGACACATACACTACATTTTGGGGGAGGAGCAATGAACTGAGGGGTTCTCATAAATAGCTTACTGTACCTTTAAAAATATAAAGTAGTAATATAAATGTATATAAATGTGACAGTAAAGACATGTTATAAAATATGTATATTTCAAAAATGCTGTTTTGAACTCTATATTAATCAAAGAATCTAAAAAGATACTATTACGATTTCCACACTTCATAAAAAATAAATTGAGCTTTGCCAATTGTAATACAATTTCACAATATTACTATATGTTCAATCAAATAAATGCCTTATAAATAACAGGTATATATAATATACTCTGGCAACCACCTATAGCAACTTAAAAAGGTGGCAGCAATTTTTTTCACAAGCAAAAAGCTATTATATATTTTTCAAAAACAAGTTTAGTTATAGATAGTTACATGAAATACTTTGTCCTACACGTTTGTTTTTGTTGTAACACAAATGTCTTTCACTTCAACACTTGTCTTCCTCCTGAACCAGACTGAAAGAGGAATGCTTCTCCTTTGATTGATAGTTCAGTGGCGAGCAAAAAGCTTGAAGATGCTGGAATGTGTTTGTTCATTGATCACAGAGGAAGTTGTAGCTTACACATTCTGATCTTCTGACTTGTTAAGACAAGGTCAGTCATCCAATATATTACCTTTATAAAGATTACATGTTAGATTGGTTTGTCAATGTTATATATTTAAAAGGTAGCAGAAAATGGCACAACCACCATGAAAGTCCTCTGGAAAATTATATTTAAAGAGCATTAGGTGCTTTACAACCTTCTCTTCAATTTGACCCTGCAGTCACATTCTCAAGTAATGTGTTATTTAACCCAACCAATTACGTCTTTTCACTTCCCCATTGTGGTTTTGCACTTCCCCTGTCCTTACCGTATGACTCAATCTAATTCTGGAAAACTCCATTTTAAACAGTGTTAAAATTGCACATACACACACAAGTTGCTCATCCCGTTACATTTGTAGCTATGCATTTTCATGGTCATCGAGCAACATGTGACTGCATTGTCATTACTGATAAGACCACCCGGCAATAGTGATTTTGGATCAGTCACATTGAATCTATTTTTAGGGGATTTAGGCTAATTCAAGGCAAAGGTTCTGAGACACTCACCTAGTGGAGCGTGTACATGTACACCCACACGCACACTCACACAAAAACAAATACACAGCAACTTTAGATGAGAAAATGGCTGCTGGGTGCTAATCTGCGATTAGTGAGGGTCATGCTTTTGAAGTTAATACCCTGGTTTTCAAAGGATGTCTCTAGCTCATGCGTGCCAGAGTCTCCAGAGAGTATCCTAAACAGCCTTTACTCCTCTACAGCCAGACAAACATCCCAAAAACATCACCAGAGGCATCTAAAATTAAAACTGAAGGATAAATTTAATTAAAGATACCGTATTCTACACGGCAGCATTTAACGGTTTTCCCTGAAGACCATTTATAATGTCACTCAATAACAAGTCTCTTGCACCAAAACATTAAAAATTAAACTCTCTCGCCAACACTTAAAGGGTTAGTTCACCCAAAAATAAAAATGTTGTCATTAATGACTCGCCCTCATGTCACTCCAAGCCCGTAAGACCTTCGTTTCTCTTCGGAACACAGTTTAAGATATTTTAGATTTAGTCAGAGAGTTTTCTGTCCCTCCATTGAAAATGTGACATGAAGCATCGAAAATACATTTTGGTCCAAAAATATCAAAAACTACGACTTTATTAAACATTGTATTCTCTTGACATTTTAATTAATTAAGTCGTAGTTTTTGTTATTTTTGAACCAAAATATATTTTCGATGATTCAGAACATTCTCACTAACCCACTGTTGTCATATGGACTACTTCGATGATGTCTTTATTTCCTTTTTGGACAAGTACAGTATACCGTACACATTTTTAATGGAGGGACAGGAAACTCTCGGACTAAATCTAAAATATCTTAAACTGTGTTCCGAAGATGAACGGAGGTCTTACGGGCTTGAAACTACATGACGGTGAGTCATTTGACACATCAAATTGACATTTTAGATCAATTTCATATTTCCTTGCTTTAAAAAAATGCATTTGAACATTAATGTGTATATATTTAAAAATGATAAATATATACCTTTGTTTTGTTCATGAGTCAGCCTGTATACTCAATATTTAAAATCAGTGTTTTTATCGATTTTATTTATTTACTGTATGTTCCGGTGTGTTCCTCTTACTTTTATTTGTCTGTGTCAAGTGTTATCCCGTGGGGGATTTCGTGGTGTATATCATTGTTTTATGTGCTTGGTTGTATCTTGTTTGTTATGAGCACACTGAAGCAAATCCCTAACAACTTGTACCGAGTTGTAAGGCAATAAAGTATTGAATCGAATCGAATCGTAAAAGAGCAATGAAAATCCAGTTTACAAAGACATATTTTATTTATTGAAAAATCTGTGGCATTGAAAATGTAGCACTGCCGATGAGAAATATGGGTAAACTAATGAGTAAAGTGACCAGAGCACAGGCAAAAAATGAGGCCAACTGCTTTAATAATTGAACTCTTCATTAACAAAGCAATTATATTTTTCTTTCAGGCCAATTTGGAAGTGATCTGACATCATTGGCACTGAAATAGCAGTTCTCTTACCGGGTGGGAGTCTGTGGAGTTGGGATCGGCTCCAGGAATTGTCAGATGGAGACTCTGGAGATAATATGTAGTCTGCATCTGCAAGAGAAGACAGAAGCTCACATAAACATGCTGGCTGCACTTACATCTCATTCAGCGCTACTGAACAGCCTACAGTACATTTACTATAGCACTTGAGACGACCCTGTTTCTGAATATTGCTATTGATTTAAACTTGCAATAGGGCAGAGGAAGAAAATAGCAAGTGGCAATATTTCAGCTCTTAAAAGCAGTTTGGTGCTTAATGGGAACATTCTGCAATATCGGTTCATGCAGAAAGTCATTAAGCAATTTTTTTCTAAAAGTTAGAGACGTTGTCCTTTAGTGAAACCTTAATTTCAGGCCCTGAGGACTAACAATGCAGGCTAACCTTTCTAATAGTTGGCGAGAGTCTCAGCAGACAAAACATATGGGATGACAGGGTCTCAAAGATGACCTTCAGCCATAATTGGAGGAAGAGAATCTTGTTTTAACGCAAGATGGTCTACGGCACAATGATCCTTGTCCTTACAGACCCAGCGCAATTTAACATTACAACAATAGCTGCATTCACAGCAGGAAATTATCCAATGCATCCAAAGAATGGTCAATTTTACACTGTAAACAGATAGTGAAAGATTTTTTTTTTTTATGTCACCACCATCTGATCTTTCGAGATTACTATCTGGAGAAGGATTAGGGTGGCCAGACCTCCTGATTAAATTGGGACGGTGTCAATTTTATAAGCTATGTCCCGCATGAGTTACAGTTGGGAATTGGAATGCCACTTGTCTTGATAATTAGTCTTAGCTATCGTTTAATTGAATTCGTAAGAAACCCACAAAATCATGTGTAACCATCAGTAACAAGAGTGAATGGCTTATGTAGTTCTTTGACCCATTAATTCAAAGTAAGCACATAATAAAACTGTTGTTTTCACCTGAAAATGTTGACCAGTAAAAAACCTTCACATGTGTGTAATTGTGTAAATTGTGGAACAAAAAAAAAAATGTAATTTGTAAAATGTATCATGTATCAACTCATCTCTGATCACCAAAACTCTGCCCAAAATGTTTCCTTGAAAAAAGGGTAACACTTTACAATTGTGTTTTGATTTTCAAATATATGGTGTAAAAACGTCTGAGTGCTGCCCTCCTCAGGTTAAACGGAAAGCTCCTGCTGTAGGGGTACTCTCTGACGTAGGGAATTCTCTGACGCCACTCTGTCACGCCCTTGGTGCGAGCTCACCACGCCCTTGGCAGCCCCTGGTATAAAAGCATCTGGTTCCGTCAAAACTACTGTAGCGAGTCAGGAGTTGGATTTATGAGTATTGAAAACGATCAGGATAGCATATAGCATCTATTTAGCATAGCATTATATAGATAATTTAGATTATTTTGTGTAGCTAGTAGCATAGTACAGTTAGGATAGCTTCAAGTTAGCATAGATTTATCAGTGTTTAGTACAGTGACCAGGCTAGTAACGAAATAGAGGTGGACATGGGCTTCTCCACACAGCTCCACACGCAGTGCCAAACACTGCTCGTCCTGCATGGACTCCTCCACCGCAGTGGCGTCTTGATGTGAGTGATCATGGATATTTTAATCACAATTTATGGTTAGGATAAAGTTAATCCTCTGGGGTCGACAAACGGGCTGGCGCATTTTGCAGGATTTTTTCACATAGCGGCAGAATATCAATATGAATATATGCCCACAGAGCGTGCGCTATTGAGATCAACTCGACGACAAAACTCATCAGATGCCGGTCGCGATGCGGGAGTTAAGACCGCAGTTTGAGCCAGCGGCTCGAATGGATTTGGCCCTGTGTCTACATACAATTCACCCTCATCCACTTCAGGTGAAGGTGAAGGTGAGGGAGAAAAGTCCTCGACTTCAAATGGCCGCTCTGTTGCAAAGGCAGCTACTTGCGTCACTCCAGTCTCTCTCTCTTTTAGAGTCTGACAGCAGCTGTCACTCACGGCGGGTCTCAGGTGCACGCCCCCTGGTCCCGCTGGGGTCTGCCCATTTTTTCAGCATTTTTCAAATATTGCTAGTGGGTGGACTCAGGCTCTGACCAGGGGTTTAGTTACCCTTTAACAAAGATTAATAAATACTGTAACAAATGTATTGCTCATTGTTAGTTCATGTTAATTAATAACTAATGTTAACTAATGAACCTTACTGTAAAGTATTACCGAAAAAAGATTTCTTCATGCCTTAAAATAGCTTGAATGTAACTATTCCTCATTTAGTATGCAAAATAGCCCTGTTTCCACTCACTCACACCAGCTCAGAGATCCAATCGGTGATCATTACACATTGACGTGATTGATTAAAAGGTAGTTTGTCACATTAGAAACACCAGTGATTTCAAACCATATTTTTGAGGCTGTCTTTTTTCACTGCAGTTTTAAGAAGAAAATATGCAGAAATGGTGTTGACTAAAGATTTCTATATGATTTGTCAAAGTATATATATATATATATATATATATATATATATATATAAAAACACACATAGTCATAGTGAACAGCCTGATTTTCACCACAGGGGTACTTTAAAAAATCCTTCTAATACCTCACAAAGACGAATGAAAGTCTTACGAGTTTAGAACAACATGAGGGTGGGTAAATCTAACCTGTTAGATCTAACCTGTTAATGTCCATAAGATCAGACCTTCTGGTTGGTTGTAAAATGCAGAAATGAAAGAGACAGACCTTGAAAATATTTAAACATGGCAATGTTGACAAACTGATTTTAAACATTATCAAAAGCACTTTAGGAGTAGTTTGACACATAACCTCTGTTTGTTTCTTTCTGTGGTAAGGTGACATTTAAGCCTAGTTCACACTACGTGATTTTAAGCCCGATTTAAGCCCGATTTGCAAATCGTTGAGTCGCCGACAAGTCAGGGTGTTATCGCGTGCAAATCGCGGGCGATTAGCGGACGATTAACGCTCGCCAATCCGTTAGTGTGAAAGAGCCAACAACGCACCAAAGACAGCTCGCAGACACCTCGCAGACAGGTCACCGAGCTCAGAAAAATATCTAGCATGCTAGATATCTCGAGCAGTCGCGCGACTCAATCTCAGTGATGTCATGAGTACAGCCAATCATAGCAACGCATGGGTTGAGGACACCAGGTAAATCTTACTTTTTCTTTTCTTTTTTGCATTTTTTTTTCTCAGAGCATATCGTCGAGCAAACAGTGTGCAGCACTAGTTTCTGTCTGACGTCCATATTCGCGTGTTGTGTTCTTCTCTGCAGTTTCGCGTCATTTCTGGTTCGTTTTATTGCGTGGTTTTTCGTGACAAAACATGGTTTCTAGACCAGATAGAATCGTGTTGTTGTCAACTCGTTATTTGTTTGATTATTTTCAGGATTTAGACCGTACTATAGTACTGAAACGGCTCTCATTGAGTCACAAATGATATGCTCTTATCATCCGATCGTGGTTGTATCTCTATGTAGTGCGTTGTTAACTCGTGTAGTGAGTTACCTCCTGTTTTGGATCATCACGTTGTGTTGTGTGGTGTGAACAGCTAAACAACTTGAACACTCATGATTTCACTGAGAGCAAGTCATTTAGTGTGAACTGCACAGTTCAGCCCAACATTTTAAAATCATGTAGTGTGAACTAGGCTTTATTCAGTAGTTACATGCCCCACACCAGCTGCTGAAGGGACACTGCTTTAGTAAAGATGTCCCAGTGTCAAGATGTTTATTGCTTGTCCTTTCTGCATTGCCTTGAGCAAGACACATATAAAGTTACTCAAGGAAGCACCTGTCTGCTCAAGGTCTTTATGCCCACTCATCCCATAAAGGCTCCAAATGGCACAAACCCTTAATATATGTCAGAGACACAATTTCTGCTTATGAACATCAATCAACTGTATTTGACATGCCAACAACACTATATTTATCTCCACTATGCATCTCTTTTCCCTTGAGACTTCAAGCAAATAAAATACCTGTGCAGTTCCCCATTTATCCTCTGTCACAACTACAGTAAATGAAGGTTAAATACATAGCCTGTCTATTTCCCTATTTTTTAAGGACCTATAACTGACAGACTAGGTTGAGAAACCCACTCATAAAAACTTTACCTGGAAATAGACCATCCAGTAGGGAATGAGGGCCAAGAAAACAGGAAGTATTTTGACCAGCGCTTTCACTTCCTCCACCTTCTCTTCTGAAAATCGCCCACCGTATGTCACCTTAGCGCCATCCAGTAGAGTCGGCTTGGGCCTGGTGGAAGAACACGATTTGTTACAAAGAAAAAAGCAATGATTTGCACCTACTTTTTTACCAACTTGTCATGGTCAGGGTTTTTTGAGAAGAGATTGTTCTTTGATTCAGAGAGAGGGAACGGCACTTGACAGTAACTTATGCCACAGAGACACGATGAATAGCATCGCCACGTACGAGAGAGACAGAAGAGGTGGATCAAAGAGGAAGATGAGGGATAACATTACAGACTAATAGAGTCATCTAAACTGGAGTAGAGGTTCCCATGAAAACAGCATAAATTTACAATCTAACACACTTAAAACAGTATGGACTGTGTAAAGACCAATTATAGGCACATTCGTTTTTAAAAGTAAGAATAAAAATGTACAATTTCTGAATATGCAACAGCTCTTAAATCCATCTTAATTCAACAAGAAATGGTGCATCACTTCTGAAATCATTGAAAAAGGACATTGAACCAGAATAAAAGGTAGAGCAGGACTATCATGTATTAGGAATTGTTTGGATAGGTCTATTGGTGCGTTCAAGTGATAAAGAAATGATACAAAGTTACAAAATTAGTGCATTTCTTTGAGCATTAACTGTGGATGAAAATTTATATCGGTCATATTCAAAGGATTAGTTCACTTTTGAAAAAACAAAACAAAAAACTTTTGCTTATATTTTACTCACCCCCATGTCATCCAAGATGTCCATGTCTTTCTTTCTTCAGTCGAAAAGAAATGAATGAAAACATTCCAGGATTTTCTCCACATAATGGACTTCAATGGACCCCAACCGTTTCAAGGTCCAAATGAGAGTTTCATTGCAGCTTCAAAGGGCTTTAAATAACCCCAGACGATGAATAAGGGTCTTATCTAGCGAATCACTATCTATCGCTCATTTCGCTATCTATCGCTCATTTCAAAAATAAATAAAAAAGTTTTATAAGCTCAAATGGTCGCCTTGCTCTGTTCTGTAATGCACGTTCGTGTTCATGACTCTCCTGTTCAAACTCGTGCATCAAAATGAATGAATCTTTTTTCGAGTCATTTCGTTGAACGAACTAAATGACTCGACAAAAGATTCGTTCATTTTGATCAATGAGTTCGAACAGGAGAGTCACAAACATAAGATATGACCCTTAATCATCGTCTGGTGTCGATTAAAGCCCTTTGAAGCTGCACCGAAAATGTCATTTGGACCTTTTGGAAACGGTTGGGGTCCATTGAAGTCCATTATGTGGAGAAAAGTCCTGGAATGTTTTCATGAATTTCTTTTCGACTGAAGAAAGAAAGACATGGACATCTTGGATGACATGGGGGTAAGTAAACTATCAGCAAAAGCTTCTTTTTTTTAAGTGAAATTTTTAAATGTGAAATGTTCACTGCACTCTTTCAGTTATTTATTTGGAGCGACAGGCTTAAATACATAGATAAAGCATCATTTGCAACTAATATGCATGTATAGTGGTAAAACAAATCTTTTCATTATGAGGAGGTGAAAAGAAAATGAATGCTTACAATAAAACCGGTAGTTTCTATTAAGAAAGTTGATTTCATGTGAACTACCCTATTCACAAAAAAAAAAAAAAAATCCTAGCCCTCACCTGAGCAGACTGGGTTCCTTTGGCCCGCGTCCACAGAAGGCCGAGGCCAGTATCCGAAACATGTCGCTGAAGGCGCTGCCGTCTGCAGGCTTGTTTATGAAAACCGCTCTGCCCAGAATAAAGATGAAGAGGGACACCCCAAGGCACACGGCAGGGATGATGTAGCCAATAGAGAAGCTGATGTTCTGCTGAATATAGGCTATTCCACCCAGGGAGAAGATCGCTCCCAGATTAATGCACCAGTAGAACCAGTTAAAGAACCGGCGTGTTGCCTCCGGACCTCGATCCTTCACCTGTAAGGATATACATAAAAAAATGCACATTCAATTCACTTTCATTCATTTTCAATTAACTGTTTTATTAATTTCAAGCTCAAAGGAAAAAAGTGAGAAACTGACAATCAAAACATTTCAAAAAATTTTAGTCCATAATAACGAATTCTATATCCAGTTCAGTGTTAAACAAGGGCAACAATAACATGTCCAGCTGGAAAAACATTTATGTTTTGACTTGCTTGTGGATACTAAAGTTGCACCGTCAATAACCATATCAACAATCAATTTTCATTCTTCATTTAATTTAATATTTTTTTGCAGTTTACAAAAACGCATTTATAAATTAGGTATGTTCTGCTCAGATGCATGCAACGCTATTCTGAAAAGATGTCTGCTCACAATCAATATAGTGTTCGAGTTTTCAATTCATTGCCCCACTTCCTCAACGTTTAAATGAGATCTATGACCCAATGACACCCAGATGTGGTAGAGCCTGCAGTTAATCTCTTTATTGAATCTTAAAATCACATGACGATCATATGATGAGAGTCAACAGACATCAACACTGGCCTAATCCAAGTCACCCCCATTTAAAGACTTAAATGGGCCTTAAATATGCCTTGTTATATCTAAATTAGTTAACAAAAAAAAAAAAAAAAAAGATAGTCAAATAAACCAATACAAAAGGTAACTGTATTTAAAAAAATCTGTTATGCAGATGAACAAGCCAACGAAGACAGATGTCAGTTTTACTTCCCAAATTTTTGGTTTCATTTTGCGTGTAATGTCTAGTTTGATAGGAGCAGTCTTACTCACTATCATATAGTGTCTAATTCATCATTTAGTCACTTAGCAGAAGATTTCCTTATAGTTCACTTATGTCAGGGACATCCCCACTGAACTGGGCTGCTGTACAGTTTCAAGTCACTGAGAGGTCATGTAATAGAAGGGGTGCTGCTAATGCATCACAAGCTTTACTAGCATGGAAACATGGCAAATGCATGGAAGGATTCTTTTATTGTACAAATGTTTTTGCACTGTTTTCACATTGTAAGAAATGTTTGTACTTGGTGTGAAACAATGTACATTATATCACTAAAAATCTTCAGCTCTACCTCATCACCATAATAAATAAAGCTTTCATAAACATTTACTTTTAAACGAATCTGAGAAACTATAGAAGCCACTTCAACAAAAGGCATAGTTTCGATCTTGTGGGCTACAAAATAGCTTGTGTCACAAGGCAAAATCAGACTCAAAGTACCTCAGAAATGTGGGATATTTGCCATGTCATTTTTAATAAGTGAAGTGAAAGTGACCAAAAGTGTGTCCAAACTTAAGGAAGTCATTCAAAATGTGCCAAAAAAGTACATTGGCAGTGAAAAACAGAAACACTGTAAACAGTTGTTAACTGATGAGGCAACCCATTATGTTGAAATCCGAAATTTCCCACTTTGCGACTTTTTGGAAATTTTAGAAATGTAGTATATTCCATTTAAGAGGTTATCGGGGTTCACGTCACAAAACGTAAAACCTTTTTTCAAGAAAAACCTCACATTATTGTTAGTCAATTTATTGTCATTTTATGACTGTCAGATGAGTGGTGTCAAATGGTTAAAAATACCATTTAAAGACCCAGAAACTGACCCATATATTGTTCAAGCACCTTCAGAATTCTTGCACTTATAGAGATGACAATGGGGAATAAAATTGAACTTGAAAAATACACCTAAAACTTAAACAAAATGTAAATTATTCACCCTTATTTCAATCATAGCCTGTACTTTCTACTGTGGAACACAAAAAATGTGAATTTTATATTGAAAGTGAATGAAGACTAGGAATGTGGAGCTCCAAAAAGCACCTTAAAATATTATTTACACCTTAAATGAGTCAAATATTATAATGCATGTCCATATGACTTCACTTGTGCAACATATTCTGCCTTAGCGAGAACAAATCATTAATTTGATCTTTTCACAAATCCACTGATCCCATTAACAGTAACAGGTTTGAATTAAATCCAATGGACCCATTCTCCATTTCAACTTTACAGCCTCCACTTGCAAAGGAGATTATATTTTTGTTGCACAAAGCTAGCATATGACCTCAGAAGACCTGGATTATATGGTGTACGAGTGATAAGGATGATTGTAGTATATTTTTGCATCCCTTTTGAAGTTTAAAATGACAAATCTCCAACTTAAAATGACAATAAAGGCCAACCAGCACATTAGTAAAAAAAAAAAAAAAAACTATTCAAAACAAACTTTAATAGTGAGTTATAGTATCTATAGACCAGCCAGGGTTAACCTGAAGCATCTGAAAGAATGTTATTAAACAAACAACAGCAACCATGTCAAAGGTCTTAATATCATTGACAGTTTCATAAAAGCCAGACACAGCAGAAAATATTGCACTGAGAATCAATCCGAGGTTGCGCCCCTGAGACTTGAACCTACTCAGAGTTTAGACAACTCTCCAGTTGTAGTAAAGTCTGTTCGTCACCTGAAGGGTTTCAATCTTTTAGATGCCACAGACCCCCAAAATATGATCATTCTGTGCCTAAATTTTAAGCTATATATTATTTGTACATATAAAGACCAAATTTGTACTGTGATGTATGTATATTATAAATACATGTAAAATATTACTATGAAAATAGATTGCTTTTTTCTAATCACTATTGTGCTGTACTGTACTGTTAGGTGCATTATTTATTTATAAATCATTAGAAATACATTTATTTGGTTTCATTTTTATGCATATTATTTAGTTAGTTAGAAAAACTATATTATTTATTATTATTTTAGTACTGTTTTTCTCGAAACTTTCTCACAAAGCCAATGGGCGTTCCCAAAGCCCATTCTGAAAGCACTTGCATTACCTGATCTGCCCCGAATGGAGTGATGTTTGACTTCACAGCTCCCACCCCAATGGCCACCAGCACCAGACCACTGAAGATCGCCGGCCTGCAGTACGACGTCCGATTGACGCAAGTCACATTGGCAGGCACGGTCCCATTTTCAGGAAAACATTCTGCAGGCTGCACTGGGAACGCCATCTCTTCTCCACACAGGTAATTCCTGGTGTTGTCGCTGGCCACAAAGGGGAAAAGCAGCATCCCTAAAAGATAAAGGACTAAACTTAAGGCTATGGTTACGAACTTGCCAAGGAAAGCATCCGCCAGCCAGCCACCAAAGGGTGATATCAAATAAGTGACTCCCATGAAGATCAAGGGAGCCTGGCTGGCCAAAGTGCCCTCCCAATAGAAGGGGCTGCTGTTTAGGAAGAGCACCAGGTTTGAGGTGATGCCATAGAAAGCCATTCTCTCTAAAGACTCTGCCAGCAGGATGGCAGCACATGCCAGTCTCCTGCCATTGAACACTGACTCGGATCTGGCTGAAGCCACAGAGTTGTCCAAAAGAGGAGTGCTCTCGTTTACATCTCTGCCAGCCATGGCCTGAGATATGACTGTTTCTCAAGAGGTGGTCAGCTGACCAAAATCCACACCTAAAGGACACAAACAACAACAAAACGATAAGCATTATTTTAACAGCACGTGATACCAAACAAAAATGTCTCATGACAATAATGGAGATTCGGGAAACAAACCACAACAGGGTTCTTATAAAACACTAACGTTAGCTCATTCTTGCACTTATTGACTTAATTGAAAAGTTCAACCCAACATAAAACAACAATGACATGTTGTCAACCACTTCTATATTTAACTCGGTAAACAGGCTAACGTTATATTTGTGTAAACATACCGTTCTTGTACACTTAGCACTGCTCCTCATTTAGCTGTTCAGCGCGCGACGTGTTTACCAATGTCCTCGAAAAACATTGTAAAACAAATATAATGTTAAAATTCCTAAAAGTCTGTCGATATGAAGTTTAGCTATCGGCTCTGAGAGTAAACAGCCAGTCACAATACTATCGCGTGACACCCGGTACTCATAAACGTCAAAGTGACGCGCCACCAGTGCAAATATCAGATCTTCATACCATCTGGATGTGCTTATCGTGTGTCCTGTGAGGAATATCAGGTTGATCCTTTTGTATATGGAGCATGGAGACAAGCGTCAATCCACAAGCAAGACAACCAACGCCCATTGCTGATTGGATAAAGGTGAAATAAAGCTTTTTTTCTATTGGCTAGTATTGCAGCCAATCATCTTCCTGGCTGGTCCCTTGTCTGTCATCCACATGGTTATTCACAGCCTTGTGTGTTTTGAAAATAAAAATCCATCCATAATAGTGTTTAAAATTGAACTGAGGGAATACTTTATTTCTTTGAAACTTCTGAAAGACTCCAGTGACAAAATTTATTCTCTATGTGAAGATGTCTCAAAATATTTGTCATTATAATTTGTAAAGCTTCCATGTAACTTTATTTTATGATTATATGAAGACTGAGGATAATATATTTGTGAATAACTTTGACGTGCCTTATGGACTGAAATGCCTTTGCTTAATTGATTTAATTTATTTGTTTTTTATTTTGTTTATTGAATTTTTGTTCAATGTAACTGTTTATGTTATGCACATGAGTCTCCCAACGAGAGATTTTGTAAATTGCTTTTTTTTGTAAATAAGTGTGTTCAATAAAAAAAAAAAAAAAAAAGCCTTGTGTGTTTTGTTGAAATAGTGCATACACCACTGAGGAAAAATATTGTCCCTATTAGTATGATTTTTTCTTAAAAACTCTGCTTATCATTCTGAAATGTTTTATAACTTATTCATAGTTTTATACTTGGACATAGCTAATTATATTCACTGCACTCCTAAGTTAAGGCAATGTAAACATTTAAATTAGATTAATTAATTATTAATTTATTTATCAACTATTGGCCAGGCTAGTTTTCTTCTTATTATTATTATTATTATTATTATATTTCCCAAATGGGAGTCAATGGCAGCCCATGAACTGTATAAGAAAATGATAAACTTAGAAACACTTATAGAGATGGTCATGAAAAGTGATTGGGCCATTTTGTGAGTCTCTAGAACCAACTCTATAGCGCCACCACCAGTTCAAAAATTAAATTTATTTCTCAATTTGTTCAGTTAAAGGACACACTGAGGTAAAATGTTCGGACTGCAGACTGCAGCAACGGTTGCATTTAATTGTACAGTAGTACAATCATAACATAGTACAGAGACATTATCTTACTTCCTTGATGTCCTTAAACAACAATATTGCTGGCCATAAACTGAGAAAGTGCGATGTGCGATACAAGTTGTCCTCGATGAAATAACTTTTGAATAGTTTGTCAGAAAATCCAAAATGTGATATCTATGGATCCTTGTGTCATGTTGAATATGGATACCGATTTTTACAGATATCAAAGTGTAGTAGGCCTATGTATCATCAATACATGTCCTAAAGGTACAAGCATAGACAGTAAAAAAAATGGACACAGCGACCCCATTGATTTCAAAGGAGAAGACTGAAGCCTGATTATTGCACTTCCTGTCTGATGTCTGAGCGACTGCGCAGGCTCAAACTGAGCGTGACGATAGTCTGACCGTTGAAAATCTTCTAGTAGCTGTGCCAAGACAAAGCTGAATCAAACTAATTCCACAAAAAACGTTGTTGAAATATGTTGTCCTGTTTCTTTTACAGTATGGACTCTCTATTTATGGGCCTTTACCTTGACTTTGTGCCTCCATGTCCCCCGATTGCATCATAGACAGTAAAAATTGCCTGCAAGCTTCTCCTCCTATATCTATGTATTTTTACAAAAACGGCTTCTACGGGGCCGTAACGTATAAGATACAAGGTAATGGAGCATTTTATACATTTTCATGTTTCTTTAGAAATAAATAATGGAAAAAATAAGTCTTTGGACGTCTCAGATGAAAAGTTATTCGCTGTCAAAGTGACGCCAAAATAAATAGGTCAAAGGGATGCTAACAGCAGGTGAAGTTCTTTTACAATGGCGGCTTCTGCAAGGCTTCAACTTCCGGCTGATGGATTACCCCTTGGGTACATGAGAAGTTTGAACAGAGCGCCACCTAGTGTTCTGGAGATATGCATTTTTTTTTTTTTTTTTTTTTTTTGCAAAAACACATAACTTTTGAAATCACAGTTAAAAAATGTATTGCTTTATGTCATTATATTCCTTGGTTTATGCATTTGAACTATGGACATTCTGCATCCTGGCAAAAACACTACTTCCCAGTGGCACAATGAGATGAGTGACAGGTTTCTGACCCAGAAATAAGGTCCATGTTATACTTCAGGTGATTGTGCAATGCTATGTGATTTGCTTGAAGGGGAAAACCAATAAAGTTATCAAATCGTAAAATAATAGAATATAGCTAGAGAAGACACAAGTCTTATAATTATTTTCAGTTGATAATAAAATAATAAAAGTAAGAATTTGAAATGAAATTTAGAGCATACATTAAATAAAATTAGGGGGAAAATGATTCCGATAAGAGTATTGGTAACACTTTAAAATAATGGTCCAACAAGTAGCAACAGCAAGTCATTTCGAACCCTGATGACTATGTGTAAAAAAAGGTTACAGCTTTGAAGATTTTCTAATAATTCAATATGTAGCAACTGTTTAACAATGGGATTTTTGATTTGAACAATGGATAAGTTGATTAAGTTTCCAAATTAAATCCAAATGGCCAAAAGGTGCTTAGGGCCCACTATCACTGCTTGCAGTTCTTGTTATAAATGTTTTGTTTATTTATTTCAATAGAATTCGTTTGTGCATACACCTCTTGGAAAAAAATAATAATAATGTTGTATATATATAATTGTTGGGCATCAATATTTATTATGAATTTACACCCTCCCACTATTACATAGTCTGTTAACTGTCATAATACTTCTAAAAAATAATAGTATTAATCTGAAATGTATAGCTATGTGGTTTCTTAGTAAATGTTTATTAGTCATTAAGGTTATGATGTCCTTGCTCATTTTGTATTATTCTCATGAATAGTGAACTGAACTGCTGAACTCATAAATTAACTTGATCAAACGAATTTAAAAAGTGTTTGAGTGCCAATCATGTAGACTGACAGATCACACGGACACCATCTCTCAGAACAGAACTAACTGTTCGGCTTTATGTAGCTGACAGACTTTTAAGCATCAAGAGGTGAATAAAACTTTCCCAACTTTAGCCTTCTTTCCTCATTCAGACCCCATTAAAATGTATGAAATTCATGAACTCAATTTCAAACAGTCTTTACTTTAAGAAAGTGCCAGTGGCAATTTGCTGTGGCATGATAACACTAAAGTCAGCATGTCCCTCAGTCACAGCTCTTCTCTCTCATGAGAACTGACTAAGACTATAAAACCTACCAGTTATGTGTTTGTTGTTTATTATTGAGCAAACACTCATTCTCACACTATATATATGTGTGTATGTATGTATTTATTCTCTCTCTTTTTAATTGAGAGAATTTTAAAATATTAAGATCATGTGTGCAAAGTTCTAGGTCCGTACTAAGCTGATCAAGATGCAAAAAGGTTCAAAAACAAAACTATTACAATAAGTAAACAACTCCAATCCACAGGAAAGAATGCACAATAACACAGTGCAACATACGACAATACCAGACAAAGAAACAGAAGGAAATGAGGAACTTAAATACACAATGATTAATGATTAACTCAAAGACTAACATGTGTGATCAATGAGTGTCCATAATGAGTGGCGGGAACAAACGGAAACAAGTATCTGAAAGTACAATATAAAACGTAACCAAAACAAAGGCAAACCGTGACAGACCTCCCCCTTTCCAGAAATGATCAATGTAGAGTTCAGAGAGAGGAGGAGCAGAGGATCTCCATGGCGGAGCAGAAGACCACCACAGCAGAACAGACGAGACGATCCCCATGATATAACTGATGGTGGGAGGAACAAGGGCAGAGTTAGTGGTCCGACAGCTAACGGTGGAGCCCGGAGATCTGGAGACCCGGGTGTAGCCGAGGAGATGGTGAGACCAGACGACACTGTAGCTTCAGGAGGCCAGGGTGGACCAGATGGACTGGTCGGAGCTGCAGCTGATGTCCCGGAAGTCTGTGGCGCAGGCAGAGTGATGTCTGACCAAGGTGGGTCCAGAAGGATGAGGGACCCTGGTGGAACTGTGAGGGCAACAGTCAAGCTGAGGGGGTGAGGAGCCAAGTGGGAGCTGACTGGTTGATGGGCCGAGGTGGAGTTAAGGCCAGGGAATCCAGGGTTGAAGCCAGGGAATCCACTCGGCAAGGCGGCGCTGGTGACTGGAAAATCTGCTGTGGAAGGAGATGAGGGACTGGAGGGAGCCAGCGGAGGTGGGACCAAAAGGACTGACTTTTGGCAGAGTAAGTGGGAGAGGGAGGCTGGGTGGGCACAACATCAACAGCAACAGATCCTCCACTTCTAGCTCCACTAAAATTTCCACTTGTTCGGAAGTTACAACCGGCTCACATACCTGGTCAGACTGGATGACAGGCTTCCAGGATGGACGGGGCAGCAGGCTCTGGTTCCGTAGTGGGCATTGGCTCTGGCTCTTTGTCAGCACCAGGACCCGGTCTGCGGTGAGCTTTGTGACTGCAGTGACCGTGAGTGATGTCATTAGCTGGAATAGCATATGTGCACACACCTGAGGATGACTTCTCTTCAGGTTCTTCTGGTCATGTTGGGTATGTCAAGTGAGCTGTGAAAGTCGCTCTCAATATGGTGATTTCAAAGTTTCATTGTCAATGGTAGGCTATACCTTTGGTGAACTGACTGAAATGAGGTGAATAGTCCAATATTGAGAGCCCTTCACGAGGTAGTAAGATTGAAAATGTAGGTATTCCAGCTAATCCGATGCGTGACACAGAATGACAGAATTGACAGAATACTTAAACAAAGAGAGCAAGAACACACATTTACCAAACGTTAGGAAAACTAAGGGTTTAAACACACAGAAGCTTTATTAACAAAACAGTGAACTGCGAGTACTAATCCAATGACTAATAATTAATAATTAACTAGAACACAGGCAAAAATGGTGACAAAAATACAACAGAACAAGACAATGAAACTAAACATGACGTAACTGTGACTACTGTTTTTACTGTATTTTTGATCAAATAAATGCATCCTTTTTTCAAGCATGAGACTTCTTTCAATAAAAAATAAAAATAATATTATTTAATATTCTCAATTGTATCAGTTGTGAATATGATCCAATGTTCCTAAATAATTTGTCAATTTTATACTTTATTTCAGGGAAAGGAAGTTTTTACAGAAAAATTCACACAGAAGGTGAGCCTATATGATTTAATAAATAACATAATATTATAATGGCTATTAATATATAAACATATTAGCTTAGCTTATATATATATATATATATATATATATATATATATATATATATATTATATATATATATATATATTTTTTTTTTTTTTTAGGGACATACATAATTATTGACTATAATTTGATCGCTAACATTTGCTATTAGGCTTGTTCCACAATCCAGATGGAATACATTCAAAATTATTATACTTATTAACATATTTTATATATAAATTTGGTGCCACATTTAATTTTTTAACGTTGCGGCCACAATAGTTCCGTGTTTCCGGAGGGGCTTCATTTGAAACGGACCCGTTCCAAAATAAACTCCACGCGGCACGACGTTTAGGTAGGATGGTCTCTGACGTGACAGCATGAGATTAACAGAGTCAGGTCAAGAGAGTAAACCATTGTCCGTCTGCTGGCAGGCGCTCTTGCTTTTTTTTATTAGCGTCAGCATTTTATCTCCACACACTGAAATGCGCCTGCTCTTCCTAGCCTGCTTAAGTCCTAAAACAGGGAACTGTACCACTGCCGAAAGAATAAGGTACAGTAACGTGTTTGGTTAGCGAAACCAGGAAGTATAACAATCCTCCATATTGATCATCACCTCTCACAACACAGTTTATTCGAGTAGTATTAATCCTGTAAGGCGATCATTTTTCAATTGAAGCGATTTTTTTCAATCCTGTAATGCCATATACATCGCAATGTCACGTATTACACTGCATAATGCACACAACGTTACACCATTGTGAAGCTATAATCTGTTGGCGCTGTTGTACAAATAAGTACCATGTATTTTGGAGAATGCAACTTTACTGTACAATGGTAATATCATGGTATTATTTGAAATACCGGGCAAATTCCGTGTAGGTTATCACTGTACCATGATAGCAAGAAAAGCCCCGAGCCACATAATTACAGAGAATGAGATGCTGATTTATAGTGTGTTTCAGTGTGTATGTGTGTTTTGGTTGCAGGAATCACATCGTGGCTGCAGGACACACTTGTGTACTGTGTGATACAAGAGAGTTTAGTTCTGCCTCTGATGTATCATCCCTGATGACGCAAGAGCGGGTCGAGGCTGCACTGGCTATTCATCTTTTCAAAGGAGGCAGGCTTCTTTTAGGTACAAGTCCCTCGGCCTCTTAAAATATACACACACATGTTGGTTTCACTTTATTAGTGAGAACAGCTCATATAGATGCAATTGATTTCATGCAGAATTTGTGTACCACATAGTCTTACCTAACCATTAGCCTTCTTTACACACATCTGTCTCGACTCATTATGGTTCTCCACATCTATCACAAAATGTATGACTTTAATAGTGATGGTAACATTGGAAATGCCCACTTGCATATGAAACGTTATGTTTTAGAGTATTATTTTGTTTAGGGACATTTTTTTAATGAGATTTCTTTGTTCAGTGTCTATATATATATATATATATATATATATATATATAATATTAGACATTAGTTTTGAGCTATAAGTGTGAAATGGTATTACTATCTGATGCCATCATCACAATCATAGAGTTTTTTTATTTTATTTATTTATTTTTTTTATGGGCAGTATGATGGCACTCATATTATCTGCTTCAATAATCAATTTATGGCATTAATTTCAAAAAGACTGTAAAATGTTGATCCTTAAAAATGTATCCTTACAGAATGCTTTTTTCAGATTGAAGGCTACTTCTCCCTCACCTCTCTAAGATATGGTCAGTTTTTTTAGTCATTGCCCAAAGTGTCCACTCTGTTGATGACGTCTTCCCCCTCTGGCAAGATAAACACACTGTTTCATGCCTCAAGGACTTTGCTCACTCAAAGGATTTAAAAGTTGAACTTCAGAGGAGGTGAATAAGTAAAATAAGGGATTTACGTCTTTGTTGTGAATTTCCATTTCTCTGCAGATGCTGGAGTGCCGTTCGGAGTGGTCTTTGGAGGGACTGATGTCAACGAGGACGTAAAGGATGAGCACAAGCGAGCTGTGATGGAGGAAGTTTTGCGCAAGGCCAGGTCAAATTTACCCAGTCTCTTATGAAAAGCCTTGTCAGCTATAGTTAATGTAATTCTGTCATCATTTATGACCCATAAACCTGTTCGACTCTGTGGAACTCAAAGAAGAGATTTTAAAGAACGTTCTGGCTGTTATTTTCCATGTAAAAAAAAAAAAAAAAAAAAAGATATCTGTTTGTTTCTCACATAAAATATTCATATGGCTTAAGGAGACTAATGCACCAGTCATATGCCCCAATTATAGTATGATACTTTAATTGTGCTTTTGCATATTTCATAAGACTTGAAATCTCCAGTACATTCTTCACATTTTTTTTTATCAACAACATAAGAAGGTTGTACAGGTTTGTAAGCAAGGGGTCATTTATGATTTGTAATTTTATGTAAACTGTATAAAAAGAGGATTATATATATATATATATACTCTGCATCTGAGATTAATCTTTAATACGGCTATCACTTTTGTGAAAAAAAAAAAATATTTCAGCAATATTTGGGGGTCCTGTTGAACCATTTAAAACAAAAGGTGATTCGAATGCATAGAAACTAATCTGATCAGCCGGACTATTCAATGACGAAACGTGATAGTCTCCAATTTAACCTGCAATAGAAAGATCAGGACAGACAGGAACAGGCAGGTTTGTGACATAATTTACCTTAGTTACAAAATTCACACTAATGAACTTCCTCGGTTTATATACTATTGTATTGGAACCTAAATTTAACATTTAAATAAAAGGTGTAATCCTACAGTATATTTTACATGTCCTAAGTTCTATTTGTTAATATTTTTTTTTAATTGGACCAGAGCTAACATGATCCGTTGTATTTTTATTACCTGCTGTGTGCTGTTTTCAAATATTAAAATAATACTGTAACGAAGAAGCACTTAACAGTATCAAATTGCAGGATATTGTGTCAGTAATGTATTGTACATTTTCAGTTAAAGGCATTTTGTTATTGAATTCCGAGGTGCCATTGTCTAAGTTTGTCTAGTTTAGTTTTGTATCTGTGTAATCAAATTGATGATAATCGCTAATGAAGTCAAATTGCAGAATTAAATAATAATTTTTGAATAAAGTTAACTAGGCGATATGTAAGTTAATTTACAATTGACCACAGTTGCAATATTTACTTGTCTACCATTCTTCAGTCAGATTATGTTAACTTTAAGAAAACTGGGAAAAAACTAGACAACAGATTCATATCAACAACAATACTATGCCATCTTGGTTAATGTTTCCGGAAAGTTCAAATGAGAAGAGTTATGGCAGTTTTTTTAGCAGTGGGGGCAAGTCTGTCCAAACAACAAACACCCGCTGAGCATAAATGCTGCTAAATGGTACCCCTGGAGCCTTTTCCTTATGTCTGTTTTCACTTATGAAAGAACTTTAAAAAATGAGTGATGTGAGGGATTATTGATAGTTAAACAATATTTTGGGTGCCCACAGCACGGTCACAGTGTGAAGCGCGTGTCCGCTCTATTCTCCGACATGCCTGCTTGCGGTGAGGTTTTTTATTTATTTTTTTTTTTTATGCGTGTCCACGGTGGATCACGGTGTTCTTTATGAATCAACCAAAGCCGGTCACGGGGGGCGCCGCCCTCGTTTGAGAAACACTGAACTAGCAGAACATTTTAAAAAAATGTTGACGTAAAAGTATTAAATTCATCGAAAATATCTACTGAAGTAAAAGTATGAGAAAAAACAATACTCTAGTAGAGTAGCTACAAATATAGCATTTTAGTACTTAAGTAGTTCTACTTCGTTACTATACATCTCTGCCTACATGCCTAATCTAGAAGTATGCGGGTTTGAATGTGTGCTATGATGATTCTATGTGCGCAGACCTGTCGTCTTTCTATACAAATTGACCTCACCAAATTGTTTGTCTGGCCTTAAATCAAAATACAGATTTTTTGCCGCTTCTGCGTATCCATGTGCACTGGAATCATTTTGCAACATTTTATCTGTACAGAGGTCGTCTTCACACGGGAGAGACTAGTTGACGCTTCAGGACTGTGTTGTCATTGAACTTTTGAATAGCAGTATATAGTCTTTCCCCTTTAAATGCTCTCTCTTTTTATCCTCCATTGCTCCTTTGGCCAAAAGGTTGACAGGACCAGGTATCATTATGTGGCATTTCTTCTCCTCCTCCTCCTATTTTTAAAAATTGTTTTAATAAATAATACATCAATACCCAAAGCTTGCCAGCTTTGTTTTTAATTCATTAGCCAGGTGTTAAAGATTCGTGTGGTCTGTTTGATTAGTACAGAGAGATTCAAACCCTTCTGACAGTCTTAAGGGAATAATTGTCACAAGGGAGAATAAGAGCCTTTCCACTTCAAACACATCTCTTAGAGAAGACCCCCTGCTGCCGCCGTTACTGCCTAACCTTCACATCTCCTGAAAGAGAGAGATGAGGGACAAGAGATGATGAAGAGGAGATATGGGGTAACCCATGGGGTTTAGTTGCAGTCATTTGGAAAAATAACAACACCATGTCTGCTTTTTCTTGATTCCACCCACATGTATCAAAAAGAGGGCCTTATGTCTTATGTATGTGTGTTTGCGTGTTTTGAGTTTGAATAAACAAGCTTTAGGATGAGGCTTGACAGCATGACAGAGGCACAGTCCAAACTTTGACTTTTTTTTCTTCTTTAAAAAAAAAAAAAATACAGGGAGCTTCAAAAGTCCAAGACTACATTGAACATCTGGGATATAAAATGTAATTTTTAATTGGAAATAAACTAGAGTTTTGAAAAAAAAAATTAACTTTTAGAATAAAATGTTAATAGTTATGATAAAAAAAGTTTTCAATTACAAAAAAAAAAATCCTCCTCCTCCTCATCATCTTGACTTGCGCTACTCGGGGATTGCATTGCTGTACTTTTATTTGCGTGGCTTGACTGATTTGATTTACAGATTTTTGACAGCTTTGATGTCTGGGAAAGTGTGGAATTGCGGTGAAATGAAAGCGGTTGAACACAGCATGGCGCGTACCTCACCGTCACAACCCTGTGCAGACTTTTCATTACACGTTAAACATGTCAGCTCACTTGCTTCATCTCTCTCTCACATGCAGGTTTGTTGTGGCGTTCACCGATGCATTGAAAGAACAGGCTCAGCTGCTCCTGGTAAGAAATGTTGAGTTTACAGCTCCAGGTTCATGGAAATAAATATGCTAGTGTTTATTTCTTATGGACTTCTAGAGGAGGGAAGAAATAAAGAGAGACAACTACTGAGATAACTGTTGCTATAAATACAGCGGGAGGATTTAACGGCTACAAATGCAATATCCTGCCTTGCATCCTTTAATAGCACAGCATTAAAATCACTATTTCCATCATGTTTTATCCTCAAATGAAACCCCAGACACACATATTTGAAGTCAAGGCAAACAGGATGTCTCTGTCTCACACACACACACACACACCAGGGGTTCTCCCTCTCCCGGGACTGATAACATCCAGCCAATTTCCCCTCCGTCTGTGAGAAATTATCCACTTTATCTCAACCAGCCATTTACATATTGTTCTTTTATTACCTTCCTGCTGCTGTATTGTTTTTTTCACCTCTCCAATGGTATTGATTTAGGCAAATCAGTGATTCGTCACACTGCACAGAGATTTTTTCCTCAGATATTTTCTGCTATTACATTAGCCAAGGACATAACCTTTGAACATGGATAACTCTATTATCATAAAAAAAGAAATCATAATGGTTGAAAAATTTACTTTTACTTTCATCTGCAGGGCATCCAGGGACACCAAACTTTATAATATTAGGAAATCTTACAATTGTTAAGAAACAAAATGCAAAATTAGTTATATCTTACTAAAGTAAAATTAGTATAAATTTGAGTAATTAGTAATATTTATAAATGTATTTTTTACTACTTTAAATATTGATACTTGATTGAGATTTTATAGAGAATTATTTTATTATTATTATTTTTTTTCAATAATTATAAACCAGTGGAGAAGTCAGAAATACGGTTGTCAAAAGGTTACAGTAATAGTAATGTCCAGTAGAGGGCTAACTTATTTCCTTCACCATTTTTTTCCAGGAATGTGAGAACAAGAAGATCTGTGTGCAGCCTCAAGGTAGAGTTTATTAATACTGAATGTTTTCTAATGGCATTACATAGAAGTTGTGTGCTAAAATAAAAAATAAAATAAAAAAAGTTTAATGCCTATTTTTTTAAATGTATTTTTTAACATCTGCATATGTTTCCAGGGATCGAAACCAAAATGGCATTACATTTCTGTTGGAGCGACTTCTTACACAGCACAGGTGCAACACCTTCACAATTCTCCTCTCCACTTAATAGCCTACACGGGGACGTTCCTCAAGGGCAGGGGCTCAAATGTAAAAAAAAAAAGGCATAAATACACTTTTTTTTTTTTTTACACACACACACACACACACACACACACACACACACATATATATAGGCCCACTATATATTAAAATAGAAAAACAATATTTTAAATTGTATTAATTGTTTTGTGTATTGTGAATCAAATAAATGCAGGGATACTCCACTGTTTTTTCATATTAAACTGTCATTCCCTTAACTAAGACGAGTTGATGCACAACTCTGTCGTCTCAGTGCACTCAATCGCTCTGGCGCATGAGGCAATTTGATAGCACTTAACTAGCCCAGTTCATTCAATATCGGCCAAGCAGAGAAGTGACCAACACCTCCACGTTTTCCCTATTTAAATACAGTTACACAAAATAAGACAGTGACACAAAATAAAACGTTGCGCTTTTCTAAGTGTGTAAAATGGATGACTATATGGGAATTGCACTTGCTTGCGTGTTTGGTCGCTTCTCTGCTTGGCCGAAATTGAATGAACTGGGCTTAGTCAAGTGCTATCAAAGTGTCTCACGTGCCAGAGCGATTGAGTGCACACACTGAGACGACAGGTATGTATCAACTCGTCTTCGTTAAGGGCATAACATAGTTTAATATGAAAAAACGGTGGAGTGTTCCTTTAAAAAACATAAAAAATTGTAACGTGTCAATTTTTGACTGCTACTAATTCAGAAATACAGGCATTTTTCCTAGCCTTATTTTAGCCCCTGAATTGAACGCTCTTTTTCAAGGGGTCTGTCTGTGAGATTCAGTGTAACGGGCCACTGATGTGATTGGCTGACATGCTTGCATATGAAATAGCTACATGTTACGTGTATAACTCTCTCAAATACTTTTACTACAGCTATTATACGTTTAATTTTACCATTGCAGTTATCGAGATTAACGAATCGTGAAAAGTTTTAAAGTATTTAGATCTATTCCCATCACATAAAATGTTGCTGAGATGAGCATTGAGCAAGCAGATGACAGTGTGTTGATCGCGAAAATGAAGATCTTATTGCAACGCAGTTTCTGCTTTCTCTAATGCTTTCACCAATGCAGAGACGATGATGTACATACAGTAAGAGCTTCGTTGTGTAGTTTGCGTCATTGATTTCATAACGAGTTGTCCAGATAAACTTGCGCTGTGTGGAAAGATTGTTCTTTGATCGCAATATATATATATATATATATATATATATATATGAAGAGTTCAGATGCAAATCTGAACTCTTCAAATCTGAACTCTTCTGAACTCTTCATATATATATATATATATATATATATATGAAAAGTTCAGATGCAAAAGCCTCTGAATGCCATTTGAAACTTTCTTCTTTAATGATGATTTTTATCAAACTTATATACTTAAGTTTAGTAATTTCACTTAAATAACAATTAATAGGTAATTATCATTGCCATTTAAGTGAAATTACTGAACTTATATATAGAAGTTTGATAAAAATCATCATTAAAGAAGAAAATTTCAAATGGCATTTAGAGGCTTTTGCATCTGAACTCTTCATACATATACATATATATATATATATATATATATATATAATTTGTTCACAATTTAAATAAGATTATTTTCATCCTATTAAAAGAAACGATGTTAACTTGATATTTTAGTCAACCAGTGAAAACCAGTGGTGAATAGGGCAAGTGACTTGGTGAGTTCATGTAAGTTAGCAACGCTGGTTCATCTACTGTATGGCTAGTACCTTGGTGTTTTGCAATAAATCTGCTTTAGCAAAAATATGTTCGAGTTTGTTCTTGATTAAACATCCATTTAGATTGTCTTAATTTAAGCCAGCAAGGTTTTGTCTTCTCATATTCTACGCTCACAGTGATTATGCAGTCCATCCAAGCTGGTTAGCAGCACTATCTACATTGACTAATGACCATGCCATATCAACAAATAAATAATGACAATACCTAAGCTACAATAACAACAGTCTAATGGCGCTTTTCCACTGCATAGTGCGGCTCGCTTCGCGTTTCCACTGCGTGGTATGACTCGGCTTGGCACGGCTCGGCTCGCGTTAGCTCGCTTTTCTTTTCAACTGCAGTTAGTGATGGCATTTAAAGGGAGTGAAATGTGCGCCACAAACGACCAAGTGTGTGGTAACAGACGTGGCAGTGAAGTCTACTCTCTTCGCCTGCACAAAACGCACCCAAGACTGAAAAGCCTCGTTTTTCCTAGAGGAAAAATGATGGACATGATGTCCTGACAGGCAGGAATTCATGCAACCAGCACAAACACAATTATTTACCATTATGGCTTCTCTAAAACTCGATCTAAAACTTTCTGACTCTCACTACTGCTCTAACTACATCAACACCTAACAAAGAGAAAGCGGACCATGAGCTTTTTTTATTATCCTCGGCCTACGTCATATGACTCATTGCTAGTGGGAAGGGCGTATTCCAGAGCACATGTTCATCAAAATCTCTAAATCAAATGAGATTTCATTAGTCATTTCTACATATGTGTTTTTAAAAGAACTCAAGACAATTTAAAGTATTAGTTCAGAAATAAATTCAACCTGCATGTTGCTCTTTAAGCCCCAAAAGCAAGTGCCTGAGCCTACATCATTAATTATACGATAGAACAGCATTAGATGGATTTTCAGACCCTGTTTGATTAATACCTTGACGTGTACATTCATCATCATCCCTCTCAAATATTCCGTGATAATTTTGATAAACAGACGTTGCCCCATTAAATACATGTGATGTTCACTTCAGGCCTTAACACTCTTAAACTCAAGAGCACTCAACCTTGATTAGAGACGACCTGAGTGCCTGCCAGGAGCGAAGAGGTTGTGCGTGTCAGTGAGTCTATACATGTATGACATGCATAATTATTTGGAGATGAGGCTAATGGGGAAAGGAAAGAAAGATAACTTTAGAAAGAAAAAACATGTATTTGTACTTTTGAAATTACTTGCATCGTTTGACTGTTTTGGTGACTTTTTTTGTTGTTGTTCTTTTCTTGGAAGTTGGAAATACCTTTACAGTGATATACTATTTACAAACATCCTGACGCCATCCACACTGCTGAGAGTGCCGTTGTATTTATGTAAATTGTATGAATATGTAAATATGTGCTGCACACTTTTTCTCACTAACACAACACAAATGACAGGGCAGCGGTGAGAAAAAAGCAGTTTAGAAAGCATATGATCATAGCGATGTGGATATGCTTGCATCAGCTCTGCAAATCACTGGCATTATGACTACAGATGAAGTTATTTAAATGATGCTATTATATAATATACTACTAGTATACAGGCGTTCATAGGAAACCCAGGAAGTCTGGGAAGTCTTCATTACAAGCTGTTCATACATTGGCAATAAAAAAAGTAATACATAAAAAAAATCATACATACAGCTTCTTAAAGCTTTTAATCAATAATTTTCTTAGTTTTTAATCCCATTCACTTTCTTCCCATTTAATGACAGAAACGTTTGTTGTTGTTTTTTATAGACCATTTCACAAGATGTAAACAACACTGGTCCAGAAGCACTTCCTGTTTCAGTTTTTTAACAGTATATAAAAGCTGGGATAAAATACAACCAACAGAACATTTAAAACAGAATCAAAAAGTTAAACCAACATCTTTAAGATGTTTTCTTTACATGTGAAATAAAGAAAACAGTTACAACCTGAAACAGGAAGTGTTTCTGGACCAGTGTTGTTTACATCTTGTGAAATGGTCTATAGAAATATGTCTTAAAGGGCTGCGTCTCTTCAGAAGACTTGGATTAAACCTTTTTATTCAGATGGTGTCATGGTTCTGTCACTTCTGCTTTTGTTACTAGTTCTGTGTGGTGACAGAGCTATGACATTTCCTGTCTGTCTTGTGTTTATGTTATGGTCATGTGATTATTCCTGTGCCATGTGCTTTCTGTCTAATTGTTAGCTCCTCCCTTCTCGTTATCTGTTTAGTCATTAACAATACTCACATGCTGTCTCATTATCCTCCTGCGTGTTTCCTTTATAGCCTCCTTTGTGTTTTCAGTCTGGTGCTGGAGTTTTGTTTGCACTTTATTTTGTTTAGTTGGTTAATTAAAATCGTACTTTTTGTTTTCCTGCTATTAAGTCCTCGTTTATGTTTCCTGATTATCATGTGACATGGATTTATTTTACGATCTTTTTATGAGCATTTTAAAGCGCCAGAGTTTCAATGGATTCAGAAGTATAGACTTTAATCATAGACTTTCATTAAAAATATCTTCATTTGTCTTCTGAAGATAAACGAATGTCTTATGGATTTGGAACAACATAAGAGTGAGTAAATGATGACAGAATTTTCATTTAGACTTCAGAATTAAAATTTCCAGAATTTAGGGTTAGGGTTAGGTCGTGCGGAAAAAATTGTGGCCTTGTCGAGAGGAAACTAATCTCCATGGTCATCTCATCTGAAATGCAGCTCCGGGGCTATGAAGACTTCAAAATGTGTAGAACTGCTAACAAAATGCCACGTAACAATAACAGAGCCTCAAAGACAACCATTAATCAAAGTTTTGCAAATGTAAGGTTTAGAAGAATATGTTTTAGCCTACCTGTTTATTTTAGTCTGATCATTAAATGATAAAAAAAGCTTAATAAAAATAGCAGTTCTCTATGGAAATTTTATATCGCAAGAAATATCATTATCACGATACTCAACAAAAACATTGCATATTTTCCCAGTCTCGTGCAGCCCTAGGGCCCATTGAAGTTCACTATATTGAGAAAAAACCTGGAATGTTTTCCTCTAAAACCTTAATTTCTTTTCGATATAAGAAAGACTTGGATGACATGGGGGTACATTATCAGGAATTTTAACTCTAAAGTGAACTAATCCTGTGGCAAATCAAAATTTTGTTAATTTTTGCAGATACACTTCTGTTCAAAAGTTTTTTTTTCTTTTCTTTTTTT